GCGGACTTTGGGCGAAAAGTCATCAATACATTACAAATGCCCAGAGATACTGACAACAATCGTCCCGAACTACTTCTACACTATATTTGTATATTCCTCCTGGAGAGGGACGTGCCCGACTTAGAGCAAGGCGGCCCCCCCACGTTGTCGGGACTGTGGTGGCGCAACCACTCCTGCTCTGACCGCGCCTGCGGCGCGCTCCGCTCCCGTGTGGCCCCGCCTCCCTTGGCCTCTGCCGGCTGCCTCGTATCTGCTGTGGCTCGCCGCCTATCCGCAGAGGCGGTGGTCGTGAACGAAAACTGTGCCTCCGTTTTGTTCTTTGCTGTTTCCCGCTTCTCGTTGACCCCGCGGGCGCAGAGGTCAAGGCTCCAACCAGAAAACCAGGCCGAGGTGAATCGCGGCTGGCCTCCGCTTTGTAGTTGCTTGTATTTCTCCATCGCTTCCTTTCCCCGAACAGGCATCGCTCGACCGTCCATTCCCTGTGCAATTGTTCGGTCTCGCGAGCGCTGGTCTTGCCCCGTGGTCCAGGATGCTCCTCGACGGTCCTCGCCGGGGAGGGAGGCACAAGCCCCAGCGAGGCCCAGCTCCACGTCTTCACTGCCATGCTGCTCCACCTCTAAGACGGTGCTAGGATCGGGATAAATCGCTCCAGAGCGTTCCGGAGCGCTCTCAGAGCGTTCCGGAACGCTCTGGAGCGGCCGCGGCGCCTAATACATCCTCCAAACCCGCCGATTCTCAGAGATTTCGAGTTATCCCGATCCGATTTTGTCCCGATCTTCGCGTCGTTTGAACCTCGCGCTCGTCCACTGCAAACCGTCGTGCTGCCGCTCGAAGCGCCGGATGCGGAACGAGCGGATCTCTCGGGCCACGGCTGGCATCGGCAGCGAATCAGTGCACCGACCTCTGGGCTTTTCTGGCCACGCCTGGCCTCAGCCGACCGAGATCGGACCGGGCAGCACCACGGCCCATGCAGTGGAGGTCAGTCCACAAGAGACCTCCACAAGAAGCCCAACCCTGAGACCGAGACCCCAGGACGCCCAGTGACTTTGGTGTGCGAGCGTCGCGCTCGCTGCCCATCGCAAAACCATCGAGACCCTCGAAACCCAAGGCACCCTGGAGGCACGCAGGGTGTTCCTTGGCACGGGCCCCCACTGTGAGCCCTGGTGTCGCGCGGCCCCTGCGAGGGAGATGCCCGCGGCAGACGCCAGGGAGACAAACAGGAGAGAGCGGGGGCGAGGCGTGTGGCGCACCCCGACCCGCGGAAGCCCCGAGGGCCAACCACATCTTTTTTTTACCTCGCAGCGCGGCAGGGTCAGTCCGCCAGCGCAGGAGGAGGAGGAGGAGGAGGAGGAGGAGGAGGAGGAGGAGGAGGAGGAGGAGGAGGAGGAGGAGGAGGAGGAGGAGGAGGAGGCCCACAAGAACGCGCGCCAGCCAACGGGCGAGCCAGCGGCCCAGCTGGCCTGGAGCGGGCGCAGCCCGAGGGGACCGCGCCGAGGCGGCAGCCACGGGGGCGACGTGGCGCCGCAGGCGAGGCCCGTCCCCAATGCCCCACGGTCACGGGCACACGACGCCAGGGGGCCACGCCACACGACGGGGGCCGACCGGCGCACAGGGAGATGCCAAATGCACAGGCGGAACCCCTCGGTCCGAGTCTTGCCGTCGCTCGGACGTCCATTTCCCGTGCATTTTTCGGTTTCGTGCGTGGTTTTATTTGCTCGATGGTCCAGGATGGTCCTCGATGGTTCTCGCCGAGTAAAATGCACATGTCCGAGCGATGCCAGGGAATTCCAAGGCTGGCGGCGTGTCACCAGCACCGCCCGGCAAGCAGCAAAGAGCAGCCAGGCGGTGCGGTGGCGGCACCTCTCGGCCCGAGATCTGGGGCGGGCTGCGCGCACCAGCGCCGCCCAACATTCCTGGAGCCGAAGGCACGAAACAAGCACTACCGACTGCCAGAGCGACGCTCCTCGCTGTGGTGGAACCATTCGGGGGAGCAAACCAGGAGAGACCTCCCCGCTCGCCTCTTGCCGCGCCTCGGAGTGGCCGACTGCTGGAGAAGACCAACAGCAGCAGGTGCACGGGGCACGCGCATAGTGAATGAGCACATCCGATATTTCCAAGTAGAAATACATAATGCGGTATGTCAGCCGGAGCTCCCTTCTCCAGGATGGCAGGGGGCGCCCCCAGAGGCCGCTCCTCCTCCTCCGCCCTTAGAGACTCAGCGACTTGCTGCAGTGTCTGCCTGAGGCCTGAAGCCGAGCGTGCAGACTCGACCTCGCCTTCGACACTGGCTTCGGGGCACTTCCCACGGGTACAGTGCCTCGCCCGCCCGGTACAGACAAGGCTGGCGCAGAGGCCGAGGCGGTAGTCCCTCCAAGACGATCGTCGCCGTCCACCGTGGCGGCAACTCTCGCAGGGACGTCACGCTGCTGTGGCACAAGCCTGGGTTCGGCATCGACGGGAAAAGAGCCGCTGGGAGAGGGCTCCGCCCGCCTAGGTGCAT